GAAATGAAAGAGTAGGCCTATTTTAAGTTGTTTCCACTAAAAGAAATGCAATGAAACTGCAAGTGTTCACATGGGCGTCTCGCAGCCATCAGTGCGTGCTCCACACACACTGGATATGCGCTGTATGCGTCAAAAATATTGTGTTTATTTGTGCTCTGTTCCTTTTTTGGATAAAGGCGTCTTCTACATATGCAGCCTAATAAAATGTTACAATAATGATGATGATGGTTATTATTATTATTTGCAGACACGGAGTTTTTGTGAAATGGACGTTTTGCTTATTTTCAATTGGCAATTTCAGTTTGAAGGGTGATGGAAATGCCAACCCGATCTCACGAAATGCGGCTTTAACTGCTCCGTAGGCTACTTGCTGCGTTTTATTTCTATAAATTAATTTCGTTTCAAATGGGGTCCAATCAGTTATTAAAGGTGTTAAAAAATTTAACTCTGTATCTCGAGGTTGCGGCGTTTGTTATTTGTTAACAGGCTGCGGCGGTTCCGCAGCCTGTTATATCGCGCAAAAAATCGCTGCTTGAAATGGAGATTTGCCTGTACTGGTCTCGTGACACTATTGCAGCCACTACGGCAGGTGAGTTAATAATATACATGCTATCTTCCTAATTTAAAAAATAAATGAATTCATAATACCCGCTGAAATGGGTTGGGTTTTATGACGTTTGATCCAGAAAGGCGTGTTAGGGGTGGGGTCTGGGGCAGCGCTGTGGGGCTACTGGCCCGGCAGTGGAAACGCAAGCCCGGTGCTTGAGGCCCGAGGCCACTAGCTCGGCCCGGCTCGCTGTTAGCTCTGGCCCAGCCCTAGCCCGGCAGTGGAAACGCGGCTACTGAGAGACTGGCAAAATTCTGGCAAAAAAAAAGATTTTCTCTACATTCAAACAAAGATATCTGACTTTCTGTGGGTCCTAGCTAATGAGTGTCAATTAGAAAGTTGTCCGGCTCGAGGAGTACAATATACATACCGATTTTTGTAACTCTAGTTAAAACTAACAACCCCACTTTTGTCAAAAGGTGGTGCTACTGAGCCCTCACCACGCCCGTTTCTGAAACTTTGCACATGTCTACTGGCTAATAAATGTGATGTGTCTGTCGAGTTTCATGCGATTTGAAGCATGCTAAGGGTCTCAAAAGCATCCTAAAAGAATGGTAAAGTTTGATGCGTTGCCACGGCAACAGTTTAAAAGATATCAAGAATCCATTCACAGGTCTACATCTGCCGTATATTTACATTATACAGATTAAGTTTGAAGCAAATCAGGTAAAAATAAAAGGGTGATTTCAAAGCATTTTGAAAGTGACACACTTCCTGCTGCCAGTTGGTGGCGCTATAACTTTGACTCACAATAGTCACATCCATGTGATCGTCCTCTTACAGCGAACACACTGCTGAAGTTTCATCAAGATCAGTTATGTATGCTGAAGTTATAACACACTTCCTGTTTCACGTTTCTCGCCATAATTTCGTTTCCTCGCCACGGCCAAACCGTTCGAGATATCAAAAATCCCCTCGCAAACTTTCATCCTCAATTCCTTGACTTCATGCTGACCGAGTTTCGTGCCGTGTGTTTGAATTCTCTAGGAGGAGTATTGCACATTCCATTGCGAGCGTTTTACAAACAAACCTCAATAGCCGACTTCCTGTTGGGCTGGTGTAAAAAGTAATAGTTTGAGGTATATATGAACGATGAGATCAACATGTGTACCGAGTTTCATATTATTACATGCAAGCGTGTTTGAGTTATGGACCAAGTGTTCGGACCCCGTTCCAGGGGGCGCTGTCTAGCCCCCCTGCCACACCCAGGTACCATCTTCAGCCCGGCTCTGATGGCTGTGGGGATCTGACCTGTGTGCAAAGTTTCAAGAGTTTTCAAACCCGTTAAGGGCCCAAAAAGCCGCTAAGAGTCTCAAAATCATCAAAAAAAAAGAATTTTAAAGTTTGATGCGTTGCCACGGCAACAGTATCAAAGATATCAAGAATCCATTCACAGGTCTTCATCTGCTATGTATTTACATTATACAGATTAAGTTTGAAGGAAATCGGGTAAAATAAGAGGGTGATTTCAAAGCATTTTGAAAGTGACACACTTCCTGCTGCCAGTTGGTGGCGCTATAACTTTGACTCACATATTCACATCCATGTGATCGTCCTCTTACAGCAACAAACTGCTGAAGTTTCATCAAGATCAGTTAATGTATGCTGAAGTTCTGACACACTTCCTGTTTCACGATTATCGCCATAAGTTTCGTTTCCTCGCCACGGCCAAACCGTTCGAGATATCAAAAATCCCCTCGCAAACTTTCATCCTCAATGCCTTGACTTCATGCTGACCGAGTTTCGTGCCGTGTGTTTGAATTCTCTAGGAGGAGTACTTCAAATTCCATTGCGAGTGTTTTATGAACAACCCTAAATAACCGACTTCCTGTTGGGCTGGGGTAAAAAGTAATAGTTTGAGGTATATATGAACGATGAGATCAACATGTGTACCGAGTTTCATATTATTACATGCAAGCGTGTTTGAGTTATGGACCAAGTTTTCGGACCCCGTTCCAGGGGGCGCTGTCTAGCCCCCCTGCCACGCCCGGGTACCATCTTCAGCCCGGCCCTGATGGCCGCGGATTCTGACCCGTGTGCAAAGTTTCAAGAGTTTTTTGAGCATGTTAAAGGGCCCAAAAGTGCCCAAATAGTCGTATAAATAATAATAATAATAATAATAAATATAGCTGCGAGCAGCGATGGCGGGCCCAAGCCGGTGGCACCGCAACCCCGGTTCCTTTAGTTACCTAAAGGCACCCAGGTGGCGGTGCCGAAGGCTTTGGCCCTTTTATGATTAAATGTTAAAACGGCTTGCCATACTCTGTCATTTCGACTAGTCACAGTTATGTTACAGATATCTTAAATGATAATAAACTATCCAAAATGTAATTACGAATAGACAGAAAGACGTTGATGATATCTACAATGTTAATTCCGGACAGGCAAACTTAGCTTTTAAATGTTAAAAAGGGCTTGCCATACAGGGACGTAGGCTCAGAGAGAGGCTCACCATATTCAAACCAAAATATCTGACTTCCTCTTGGTCCGAGCTAATGACTATGTATTAGAAAGTTGTCCGGCTTGAGGAGTACAATGTATATAGCGATTTTTGTAACTGTAGATAAAACTAACAACCCCACTTTTGTCAAAAGGTGGCGCTATTTAGTCCTTGCACTATGCCCGTTTCTGAAACTTTGCACTTGTCTACTGGCTAATAAATGTGATGTATCTGTTGAGTTTCAAGCAATTTCAATTTCAATTTCAATTTGACTGTTGAAAAGAAGTGCGCCGATTAGATACTCAGGATCGGTATCGGCTCTGACACTGCCATCTTTGACGAGGCTGATTCAAATTCTATATTGTGCATATATACTATTCTATGTTAGGCACAAAGGCACAAAAACTTTCTAAAGTACCATAAAGTTTTTGTGTACTGTATTATTAGTGTTCTGAAGCTATTATGTGATATAGAAATTAATATTTAAGTCATTAAATTCAAGAACACAAACTTTTCCCTCTCTGCGCCTGTCAGTCATTCTCCATTCAGCATTCAAACAGCACGTCACATTCGGTTACAGTCAATGATGAAACGATCTTCAAGATGATTGAATGTTAATCCTATTATACTGGATCTTTAAGATAAAGGTCTAAAGGTCTATATTTTCGAATGAAGAAACTTTTTCTTGCTGGACTTTATTTGCTGTAACTTAATCCGTGTTACTTTCTACCGGGTGTCGGACGCTGTCGGTTAGATCACAACACTAGAGTCAGAGCACTATAATTGTTCTTCACGCACACAGTAACTGAAATTTAAAACCTTTAAAAGAAAAGGCTCAATAAACTATTGCATAGATAGATAATGTATAATACACTGTTCAAAATATGTATTTCCTTTGTGCTTTGAACTTTTCAATACGGACTCACTGCGCTGTAACTTCATGTGGCTTCAAGCACATCATTCTCCGCTCGGGATGCACATAAGTGCTTTGTGCTGCACCGTATTGGAGCCGTAATATCATAATGCAGTGACGTAATGACAGATTATTAATTGCCTTTCAATTATATGTTGCTGCGTCATTAAACATCTGTCCTATGCATTTCAAACATTTATAGCAGCCATGGCTATAATTTTTTTATGATTTTTGTTATCTTGTTTTTCATGATGTATTTTTCAAAAATAAGAGCAATGTGTATTATCTATTATTAATATGGTTTATAATAGCATTTTTGTCATAGATTATGACAAAGTAATCATATGATCCACCAGCGAGGAACCAGCAGAACAGAGTGAACATTCTTTCTGTTTAGTTTCAATCCTACTTAATAGGAATTTATTTTAAAATGCTCGCTCTACTCCACACCATTAATGTCTTGTGCGGACATTCATCGTATTTTGACTTTCGGTTTTAAGTAAGCGATTTAAAAGCTCCCAGTCCCAGCGGAGTCACACGTTGATTAAACCGGTGGGAATATACACAATAGGCCTAACTACCTGATATTGAACACAAGAGGGCAGTATAGCACTACGTATGACTCAGATTATTATTTTTTTATGAATTTTACAACAATTCTGGCTGTTTTTGAAAACGTAAACATAATTCTTAAATGAAAAAAAAGGAAAAAATTGGGAAGTTATAATATTTGTATAATTTAATTTAGAAACAAATGATGTATAATTACATTTTTAGAAGATATGAGGCTTTTAGTGTTTTACTTTTTTTGACATTACTTTAATCTTTTGCCATAGTTGCACAATGTCTACTGCTAATAAATGTGATGTATCTGTTGAGTTTCAAGCAATTTCAAGCATGCTAAGAGTCCCAAAAAGCATCAAAAAAAGAATGTTAAAGTT